CCACATAGCCAACCACAGTTCAAGTCCTGGACCTGGTGGCTTGCTTTCTCACTTTCTCTCTCTCTTTCTCTCTCCCTCTCTCTGTGCATGTGTCTCTTTGGTCAAATTAAGATGAATGAATAAATAAAATTAAATAAATAATTCTTTAAAAAAAAAAAAAGAGCAAAGCTGGAGGACTCATATTTCCTGATTTCAAATTTTACTACAAAGTCACAGTAATCAAAATAGTGTGGTACTGGCATACAGACAGACCTGTCGAACAGTGGAAGAGCAAAGAGGGTCCAGGAGGACCAGACGGTGCAAGGGAGGCACACATGGGAAGATTCTGCGTTTGTGTCGAGAGTCCTTCTAGAGTACACAAGATGCACACTGCTCAGAATTCAGGCCAGGCTGAAGGCTGGGGGAGATCACACTCTTGAGACCCTGTTAAGGAAGTGCCCCCTCTCTCTATGTCTCTCTTGCTCGTGGAGAAAATAAGTAAACTAAAAAAAAAGTGTCCAGAAATAAACCCCGACATATTTGATCAAATGATTTTCAATGAGAGTACTAAGACCATTCAGTGGAGGAAAGGAGACTTTCCAACAAATGGCAGTGGAAAAATCAAATATCCACATAAGTTGTGAACCCTCACCTAACACAATACACAAAAGTTAACTCAGCTGTTTCTATAATGCAGACAATGTTCCATTTCTTAAACTGAATGGTGAGTAAATGAGTATTTATTGGAATTATCTTATATAACTTCATTTACTTACTTGTTTATCTATTTATTTATTTTATTTATTTATATTAACTTGACCAGAGAGTGAAAGAGAGAGAGAGAGAAAGTGAGAAAGCAAGCTACCAGGTCTCGGATGCGAACCGGAACCACTGCATGCCATGTTTGAGCCCAGCACCTTTAACCACTATGTCACCTGCCGGCCCTTCATTGTATTATTATTCATTATCCTCTAACCATTATTTCTTTAGAAATAGTCTTTTTTATTGACTCAATAATTAATTTTTACAAATCAGGAGTCCAGAAATGGAGACAAAATGAGATACTAGAGCACTGCCGGGTTCCCCTTCCTTATGCTGTACTTAGATGAACTCTGATCTTCCTGGCAGTAGGGCCACTGACTGTGGGGGTGATAGGCTGAGTAATGGCCACCAAAGATACCTAGATGCTAATCCCTGAAACCTGTGTTATCTCAGGAGGCAAAAAAAGGCACTTTGCAGCTGCAATCAAGGGTTTTGAGATGGGGAGATTATTCAGGTAGGCCCTCAAGGTAGTCACAAGGTACCCTTGTCAGAGGAAGGTGGGGAGGTGAGGACAGATGAGAAGGCAATGTGACCAGAAAGCAGAGATTAGAGAGATGTAGCCCCAAGCCAGGAATGCAGCCAGCCACTGAAGCTGGAAGGAGGAAGGAATGGAGTCTCCCCTGGAACTTCCAGAAGGAATCAGTCCTGCCAACACCTTGAATTGAGCCTCAGAAGACTCATTTCAGATTTCTGGCCTCCAGAACTGTTTGAAAATCAATTTCTGTTGCTGTAAGCCAATAAACACAACTCGAAAGAGATCAGATATGCTATTTGAGTGATTCTGGGCCCATAAGGAAGGTCGTGGGTTTGATTCCCCAGTGGACTACTATTCACTGGGCATGCATGCCCATGGACTTGGCTAGCTGGCTGGGAGGCTGAGGAGGCATTGGCAGTGTGAGTCCTGTTGACAGTGCTTCTCTCTCTCTCTCTCTGTGTCACCCTCTCTTTCTCTCTGCCCTTCTTTCCTGCCTGCCATGTGATGACTACCACCCTATTATGCAGCGAGAAGACCCTCACCAGATGCCAGCACTTTGGTCTTGGATTTCCCAGCCTCCAGAACTGTGAGAAAATAATTTTTTAATGAATTATGAGTATTTCACATATTCTATTATAGCAGTACAACATACACAAAGACAATACCAAAAGACTGAAAGTAGGGCCAGGTGGTGGCATGGAGGTCAAGAAGGTTGGATCCCACATGGCCAACTGCATAGCTCAAGTCCTGGACTCAATGACTTGAAAAACATGCCAGGTGCATGTGCATGTGTGCCCAAAATCCTGAGAGGGGAATGGAAAAGGGATTGTGGCATGACTGTCTCCCCTGGGAGGTGCTTTCTCATTTTCTTTTCCTCTCTCTCCACCCATCACCCACAAGCACATGTGTGCTATAGCAAAAAAAAAAAAAAAAGAATTGAAAGGCATTTGAGAAAATATTTGTATGCTCATATTCACTGCAAATTACCCACAGTGGTCAGAAGGTAGAAGCAGACCCAGTGTCCCTACATAGCTGAATGGATTAACAAAGTGCACTGTATTTGGGTTGTCAGAAAAGTCATGACACATATTGCATAGGAAAACATAGAGAAATACATCATGACTTTTCCAACAACCCAATACAATGGAATGATACTCAGCCTTTAAAAGAAAGGAGGGGCCAGAAGGTGGCATGGTGGTTAAGGTGCTAGACTCCCACATGGAGTCCTGGACCTGGTGACTTGCTTTCTCACTTCCCTCTTCTTTCTCTCTCTGTCTCTTTCTGGTCACATTAAAATAATAATGATGACTAAAATTAAATAAATGACTCTTTTTTTGTTTGTTTTTGGAGAGTTGTTTGCTATAGGGCGCGTGCGCTCGCCAGACAGACAGAGAGAGACAGAGAGACAGAAAACGAGAAATCACCCCCCAGGGGGGATGGTCATGCCACAACCCCTTCTCCTCCATTCTCCTTTCGGAATCTTGGGTACTTATGCACACGTGCCCGGCATGAGTTTTAAGCCACCGGGTCCGGGACGTGAACCGTGGTCGACTACGTGGGAGTCCAGCGACATAGCCATTACACTAACTGCTCGTTCCCAATAAATGACTCTTTAAAAAATATTTTAAAAAGAAAGAAAATTCGTGGTGGTTTAGGGCGTTGGACTCCCACATGGGTGACCGTGGTTTGAATCCTAGGCCTGGTGGCTTACTTTCTCACTTTCCCTCTTTCTCTCACTCTGTCCCTCTCTGGTCAAATTAAAATAAATAAGGTTAAATAAAATAATTCTTTAAAAAATAAAAAAAGAGGGGCCAACAGGTAAAATAGTGGTTAGGGGCGCTGGACTACTATATGGGCGACTGCGGTTTAAGTCCCAGACCTAGCGGCTTGCTTTCTCACTTTCTCTCTCTCTCTTTCTTACTCACTCTCTCTGGTCAAATTAAAATAAATAAGTAATAAAGTTAAATAAGATAATTCTTAAAAAAAAAAAATGAAAGGAAATTCTGGGTTGCCCTGTGGCCTAGTGGTTAAAACAGTCGGATCCCACATGGCTGACCATGCAGTTCAAATCCTGGCCCCAGCAGCTTGGAAAGCATACCAGGAACGTGTGTGTGCATACGTGCCCAAAATCCCAACAGAATGGAGAAATGGAGAAGGGATTGCCATGTAACCACACCCAGCTTGGGGTGTGTTTTCTCTCTGGTGAGTGCACGCTCCCTCTGACAAAAGAAATGATAAAGAAGGAAATTCTGACATGTTCTGCATGGGTGAACCTTAAGAACATGGTAGGTACTAAGTGAAATAAGCCATTCACAAGAGACTTACTATATGATTACACTCATGGGAGGTAGCTGGAGTAGCCTAATTCATACAAATAGGAAGTAAAACGTTGGTTTCCAGGAGCTGGGAGAAGTGGGGGCAGTGGGGAGTTAGTGTTTGATGGGTATGGAGTTTCCTGTTTGGGGAGACAGAGTTCTGGACATGGATGGTGGTGATGGTTCCCCAACAAGGTGAATGTACTTAACGCAACTGAATTGACACTTCAAAATGGTTAGGGCAGGGCCAGCAGGTGGCATGGTGGTTAAGGTGCTGGACAGTCAACCACAGTTCAAGTTCCGGACGTGGTTGCTTGCTTTCTCACTTTCCCTCTCTCTCTCACTCTCTGTTTCTGGTCTAATTAAAATAAATGAATGAATAAATAAAATTAAATGTAAATAATAATTATTTTAATAAGTTAGGATGGTAAATTTTGCACTATGTGTATTTTACAATTAAAAAAATTTTAAAAGTCCTGTGGTGTTCGGGCCACTGGGAACTTCTCACTTAACACAAACCTCCCAGATTCTGGCCTCCGCCATTTTATTCTGCACACTGTCTCCCATTTCTCTGACATTCTCCGCTGTCTCTTCCTCGACTGGGGGATCCTCAGCCCCATGTTCCAGTTAACACTCTCTGTAAAGCTGTTTAGTTCTTCATGGGTTTAATCATCTCCCTCCAACCGTGCCCTTGACACCTCCCCTTCCTCAACCAAAGTGGCTGATCGAGATATTTTTCTACACAAAACGTGTTCTCTCCCTGCTCAGTGCATTGCAAACTTGCCATCTGGTGTACACATTGGTCTCCTGAGAAATTGATTAGTCTGAGTCCACAGCTGAGATGCGATCCCCTCTCCACCAGCTGCCAGGTTGAGAGTAGACCCAGGGCCCCAGGGGTGAATTTGTCAGGGTAAAGGCCTCTTTGGGCAACCTCTTGGCAGCCTGCCAACAACCCCTTCTGGCAATGTCTCAGTTCTCTGAGACAGAGCACGCCTGCAATACAGACACACTCAGAGCCTGGAGCTGGTGGGGAGAGAGGAGGTGACAGAAGACTGGACAGTCAAGGAAGCCCCACTTGGGCCATTGGTGGCCTTGTGGTTACAGGAGCCAGATCCCACATGTCTGTCTACACTGGTAGAGTTCTGGCCCAGCAGTTTGAAAAACATGCCAGTGCCTGTGCCCAAAATACCGAAAGGAGAGAGATGGAAGAGAAGAGATGGCAGCATGACCACACTGCACGAGGAGTGTTTTCACCCTCTCCCTCTCTCCTGTTGATGGAAATCCCTGGGGTAGGTGCCCCTGGAGAGGTCTTGGGGGGAGGCTGACAAGAGGAAAGACTGTAGGCTCCCACGTGGGTGCATACAATAAGCTGGTAGGGGAGGCTGGCAGTGCCTCCCAGGCACAGATCTCCAGAGCAGAAATAAGAGAAGGGAAAAGGGTGAAAGGTCTGGAGAACAAAAACTGCCATTTGATAAGGCCAGGCAAGGGACACTGATAGTAGCTGACAGTTACACCCACTTGCTACATGCCAGGCATTGCGCCACAGGCTGCTGGCCAATAAACACACAGGGTAACCCAGCCCCATGTGTAATTTACACATGTGTAATTCTAGTCGCTGCTTTTTACTTTCTATTTTAAGAATTACTTTTTTTTTAACTTATTATTATTTTAAAATTTGACTAAAGAGAGACAGAGAGAGAGAGAGAGAAGGGGAAAGTAAGAAAGCAAGCCACTAGGTCCAGGACTTGTACCTCGGTCAGCCATGTGGGAGCCCAGCACCTTAACCACCGGGCCACCTGCTGGCTCCTAGTAGCTGATTTTAAAAAAGGTAAAAGGAGGACTAGCAGATGGCATAATGGTTATATCACGGGATTCCCACATAGTCGACTGAGGTTCGAGCCCCAGACCTGACTGCTTAAAACACACACCAGGCTCATGTACGTGTGTACCCAGAATCCTGAAATGAGGAGGGATTGCGCATGGCCACCACCACCCCACCCCCCCAGAGAATGATTTCTCGTTTTCTGTCTCTTTGGCAAGTGTAAACGCCCTATGGCAAAAATCTCTCTAGCAAAAAAAAAAAAAAAAGTAAAAGGGGCCAGCCAGTGGCATGATGGTAAGGCAGCTGAGTCCCACATGGCTGACCATGTGTTATGAGTCTTAGACCTGTGAGTTAAGAAACATGCTGGGAACCAGCAGATGGCATAATGGTTATATCACGGGACTCCCACATAGTTAACCGTGGGTCAAGACCTGGACCTGGTGGCTTAAAACTCATGCCAGGTGTGTGTGCATGTGTACCCAAAATCCCAAGAGGAGCGTGGAGGAGAAGGGATTGCGGCGTGGCCATCCTCCATGGGAGATGATTTTGTACTTTCTCTCTCAATATCCAAAAAGCCCATGTGCCCTCTAGCAAAAAGGAAAAAAAAAAGTAAAAACAAGACAAAATAAAACCTCACAGGTGAAATTACCTGTAATAATATATTCTATTTAAGCAAATATATGCAAATTTTTATCATTTAACATGTAATAAATATAAGAAATTATTAGTATTATTTTACTTTCTTTTTCTGTATCAGTTTTTTTTTTTTTTTTTTTTTTTTGAGAGGTTTTTGCTACATGGTGCATGTGCTCACTGGAAAGATAGAGACAGAGAGACAGAAAGTGAGAAATCACACTCCCTGCCCCCAGTGAGGGGATGGCCACACCTCAATCCCTTCTCCTCCATTCTCGTCTCAGGATCATGGGCATGCACGCACATGCACCCAGTGTGAGTTTAAGCCGCTGGGTCCAGTACTCGAACCATGTACTTTGACCAGAGAGAAGCAGAGAGAGAGAGGAAGTAAGAAAGCAAGTCACCAGGTCTGGGACTCGAACCATGGTTGGCTATGTGGAAGTGTCCAGTGCCTTAACCACCATGCCGCTTGCTGGCCCCCAATACTATTACTTTTAATTTGACAGAGATATGGCAGTAGAGAGAAAGTGAGAAAGCAAGCCACTATGTCCAGGACTTGAACCGCTGTCAGCCCATGTGAGAGTCTAGCAACTTAACCACCACTCCACCTGCTGGCCCCTGTATCAGTTCTTTTTCCTTTTTCCTTCTTTTTTATTATTTTATTTATATTTATTCATGTATTTATTTTAATTTGACCCGAGAAGGATAGAGTAGGAGAGATGGAGGTGGGGGAGTGAGAAAGCAAGCCTCCAGGTCCAGGACTCGAACTATGGTCAGCCATGTGGGAGTCCAGTGCCCTTAGC